AATGATACCCTCTTCAAATATTTCTTCTCTTTCAAATTATTTTTTTAGAACTTGAATTGCCACACTTATTTTGGTTTTGTATTTTGCTTTTTGAATGCATTATATTCTAAATTGCCCCCTGAACCAATTAATCTTTTTTGACTTTGTATTCATGTAGTGCAAATATTTCCTTCACATTGTGTCTCATAGTGAAACATACTACAAGGTAGAAGTATTTAATCAATTTGAGTGGGTGAATCTTGGCTCCAAGTTAATGAACAAATTTTGATAAAACCCCAATACTCCATACCTTCACAAATCAATTTATAAGATACTTTAACTTGACCAAATGTCTCTTTACTTGGTTCTTTATCAAAACAATGCCTTGAGGAATCTTCTGGAAGATAAGACTTTGAAGCATAAAATCTAATGAACCTAAATTAAAAAACCTAATTATGATGAGATGTAAACCCAACCCTTTTTCCTTAAATGCATATTGAATGAAGGAATACATTGACATCAAAGCCCTTTGTCTGAGATGTTCTCAAATGAAGAAATGATGAAACCCTAAAGATCTTGCCTTGAAGTTCTTAAGGTATTTGAAAAGAAACCAAACCATAACTTACAAGGTCCTCCTTTGAAGTACCAAAGGAAACCCATAGTTAATGAGAAAACCAGTGGATTCAAGCTTGAGTGAAGTGGAAGCCTTAAAGCATGAAAAACCCTAAATCCTCAAGATCCTTGATCCTATGCCAAGTTTATTGATTAATGATGTATGATGTGTTAAATAACCTAATAGAAAGGTATGTATATGACGATGCTTAAGCCAAGTGATTTTATTAAAGGATAGGACACATTTGGGGTATGACACCATGATGGGTCGACTCTCAGGCCTTTGGAGTCGATGCAAAGCACGAAGGAGTCGACTCCCCCGAGCTATGCATCGACTCCTACTTAAGCAACATTTCTCAAAACTTCTATGTCCACTTGGAGTCGACTCCCAGGCAGTATGGGTCGACTCCCTCATCGAATGGGTCGACCCCCATTATTTTAAAATGTATAAATGTGTAATTTTGCAAACATGATTTTTCCATTTTCTCTTTTACACACTTACACCTATATATAGTCATTCATGTATCATTTTTAAGCGATTGAAACTAAAAATATACAAAGTTTTGTCACCATCTTCATCCTCTCTTATTGCATAAATACAATAACTACACATAGTCATTTTTGTTGTGTGATCCTAAGATAATTTGATAAGGTCCAATTAAGATTGTTTGTAATCAATTGGGTTGGAAATTCTTCATGGGTTTCAAGATAAATCTATTTGGGGTTTTCTTCCAAGATTAAGGATTGATTTGATATTTTTTCACAAGATTGTGCAATTTAGATTCAATCGAGTGAAAGCTTTGAAGAATGAAGGTTCTGCCAATGGAGTAACGATAACTGGAGGATCACTTTGGTAATCTTAGGTCATAATACATCTGCAATTTGGATTCATCCAAGTGAAAGTTTTGAAGAATGAGAGTTATGTCAAACGAGTAGCGGTAGCCGGAGGATCAAATTGGAAGTATTATATTACTTGATCGAGCTTAAGATCAATGGGAGAGAAGAAGATAAGGTCAACATCAAAATTAGGATTTAGAGGGTTGGATTGCTACTTTTTCTCTTGTAAACTACATTTGCAAAGGTTAATTTTCATTATCTCAATTCCTTTAGAATTGGGGTCAAACATACCCATAGCGAGGCCGATTTGAGAACTGCCTAAACAAATCCTTGTATGTGTCTTTCTCTCTCTCATTTACATTTACTTACAAATTATAAAATAATTGATTGTGTAATCGATACATTGGGATAATCCCTTTGTCTAATATTTCAAATTATTTTGTTGAGTTGATTTCAATCTATAAGATTGTAATTGGTTTCTCATATCAACAAAATAAAAGAAAAATCTAGTTTGAATTGATTGCACATCAAATGTTCGACAAATTGCTTAAATCAGTTTTTGTTTGATATTTCATTGAAAATCGATTATATTATGTAGTTTTATTCAAACGTTGTTGTTAAAAATATATTGATTAATTTTCTCATCAATCATATTTGTTCTATCGGTTTAACGCATATCCGATCTTTTTGACAACAGTTAGGGATAAATGATTGTCAATCCGAGATTGTTTCTGCTAGTCATAGTTAAACATTTTCAAAATATAATTTTAAATAAGAAAATTTCATTTGTGATTTATTCATAGTGGAATAGATCCTAGCCTATCGTCTAACACATTGTGGAATTTCTAAGACTAATGAGAGTCTCAAAGAAAGTGTATTTTGGTCAAATATGAAAAAGATGTTACTAATTTTGTGAATTATTGTTCGATGTGTCAGCAAACCAAACACAAAACCGCTACTCATATGGCTTACTTCATCCCTTGCTAATACCGGGTGTATGGGAAGATGTATCATTGGATTTTGTGGTAGGACTCCCTTTTTCCCAAAGCTTTACAATAATCTTGGTGGTGGTAGATCTACTGTATAAAGCCGCTCATTTTGGCATGTTGAAAACTGGTTTTACTACGGCTAGAGTAGGCGATCTATTTGGAAAAATGATTTCAAGCTCCATGGCATGCCTCATAGTATGGTTTCTGATTGTGACCCTATTTTTCTCAGTCACTTTTGGCAAGAGTTGTTTCGTCTTAATGGCACCAAGTTGCACATGACAACAACCTACCATCCTCAAAGTGACGACCAGACTGAAATAATGAACAAAGTTGTGCAGTAGTGCTTTCATTGTTTTGTTCATGAGGATCCTAAAAGATGGGCTCAGTTTTTGCACTGGGCAGAACAACATTACAATACCTCCATACATGTAGCAATAGGGTTTTCTCCATTTGAGATTGTATATGGTCGCCCTCTCCATCCTTGGTACATTATAGATGTAAGTCACATTCAAGCAGTGAATGATGAGCTCTACAACCACAATGAATTTTTGGAGTTAGTAAAAAAGAAACTGATGAAGGTGCAAAAAACTATAAAGCTTTATGCTGATAAGAAACGCCTTCCTCAGAAATACAATGTTGGAGATTTTGTTTATGTAAAGTTGCGTCCTTATCGACAGTCCTCTGTTGTAGAGAAATGGGGTCACAAACTGACCAAACGTTTCTTTGGTCCATTCAAGCTGATGCAACAAATTGATGATGTTGCTTTTAAGTTGGATTTATCTGAAAATAGTCATATTCATTCGGTATTTCACGTCTCAAAACTCAAACTCTGTCAAGGCTCAATTGATTTCCAGTTTCCTTTATCACAAAACTGTGTTGACAACCTGCCTTTGGTGAAATCACTTGCTGTTTTGGATTAGAAAGAAATGAAAGGTGTTCGTAAAGTTCTCATATAGTGGAATAACTTATTTCCAGAAGATGCCACATGAGAATTATTTGTGAAAGTGTTGAAAGTTTATCCTGACATCCACCTTGAGGACAATGTGTGTTTTGAAGACTCAGGGGATGTAATGACACCGACTCAAGATGAAAAAATGGGTGATGTAGAAGCAAATCCTTATGTTAGGCCCAAAAGGAATGCAATCAAACAAATGACTAAAAGATTATGTCACAAACTAATGAGAATATTTGATGAAACTTCTAGTCCTGGGTCACTTTTTCTGTTATTGTAAAAATGCCAATTGATAGCAGATAACAAATTGTGAATTCACTGTAACCAATTTTAATTATATATGTACCGGCCTGATGATTGAATAAAGCATAGAAAATAATTTTAAGCAAAGTTAATTGTAAAATTTAGTTTCTATCTTACATTATTCCCAGAGATAATTGTGATCATAACATATAACCTTCACTATTAATTAATCTTTAACTATGTACTATAAAGGTGTTGAAAAAATTATTCAATAGTTAAATATATGTAATGTGATGTTGAAAGTGAGATGAATTAATATGTGTTAAAATATTCAACATGTTGAATCAGAAGAGAGTGAGGCCACATTCATTCCTTATTCAACATATTAAATATTTTTGACACCAATTAATCTAATTCACTTTCAACCCTTTTATTCAATACTCCATTACACTTTATCCGAATAATATTTTTAACACCCCATTAAATACTTGTCTTATGGTTTGCTAAAAGCCTAATAAAAAGTTACTTATCCGAATTGTAAGATTCGATAGACAAGCTTAAACTTTGAAGACTCCCTCGCAAACCACAAGAAAACAAATTTTCTGTACTTGTTGTTGGCCCCATAAAAACCGGAGCGTGAAGAAGCGCGTGTAGAAACCAAAGAGCGTGTAGTTTACGATAACTGTTTTCCAAACTATTTTTTCCTCTACTCTCTACTCTGACACACTGCAAAAGTAACTCGAGAACCGAGCAAGCAAGAAGAAGAAGAACCTCTAGGGTTTCACTCCCACATTTTCCATTTCCACTTCAACTTTTCCGGTAACTCCACTCTCAATCTCATCTCTTCATTATCATGTGTTTTACGCTGACAAATTTTGGTTTTAATTTTGATTTTTCTTGCATTATTGAAGCTTCCGTAGTTCGTATATTTCAGTGGCTATTTATTGCTATTGTTGGTTGGTTGGTCTGTTAGTTAGTTAGTTAGTTAATGCTGGTTTTGTTTCTTACAGTAGCTTGCATTTAATGGTGTTTGACTAGAATCTGTGCTTTTTTTCCTTCGGTTACGTTGTTTTGTTTTCCAAGTACTGGTTCTAGATCTAGAATTTTCTGAGTTCAAAATGAAACTTGAAGGCAAATGGAAAAGGAAGTTGGTGGTAGTGGAGTTTGTTTACTTGGAGTTTCTTTGAAGGGATTATTTACATTTTTGTTTGTTGCACTTTTTTTTTGTTGAATGTTGAGTCATTGGAGTCATTAGCCACTAATAATTGCTTTTTCTAGTAGCAATTGCTTTTCTAGTACTATATAAAGAGTAAATGAAATTCATTTTCTTTTTTATTTCTTACTTAGTTTTAGATTGTTGTTGCAGGAATAGAAGGAGATATTAAGTTATGCAGACACCAAAAGCAAGGTAAGATTGTTGTATTTTGATTTCAACAGTTTTTCTGCATACGGATTATTTTGTGCCGTGTTATGTCTGAAATAAGGTGACTTTATTTGATTACTAAACTATGAGTTTATTGTGTTCTGTATGTTTGTTAAACAAGGTTGCGAAGGGATTGTTTATGTTGTTTAGTGTAGATTTGATTTCTTTAAATGAAATTCTCTCTCAATAAGGTTGTGTGGTCCTGTGTTTTTGTTTCATTTACTTTGAAGTTGGAAAATGTGATGATATTTTTAGCTTGTGTCATGTATATGAACGGCAGTGTTTGAAAGTAGTGTTGCATAACTTCTTCCATTTGATTAGTTATCCTCTCTGGATCACTTAAGTGTGTTATCTAAAGATGATTATTATTCATATTTTTTTCTGCATTTGTTTTGTTAATGTTTGCGAATTTGTTTACGATCGACAGAGCCAGTGCTTCAGAAATGTCCCAAAGGAAATCTCCTGCAACCCCTCGAACTGCTCGCCAGTTGAAGACACCGACCTCTGGTTCTAACTCATCCTCATCCTCTCCAAACCCCATAAGAAAGACGCCGAAAGACATGAGTCCGAAAGTGAATGAACGCAGGTTATCACACAGTCCAATATCGGAGGTATTTGGAATTAGCTCACTGCTAGGTCTGAATCAGCTGATTTAATTCTATTTGACTTAAGGAGCCACTGTTGCTAATGACAATCTCCTTGATGATAGATACCACTCCCTCTGTTTTTCTCTTCGTTTTAAAATATTTACACATACAAATCAATCATTTTTCTCACTTTTGATGAAACTATTTGTCTTTTTCTTATAACACCTCTAACTATTTATTATCTCATTCCACCTACTATTTCTCTCTCTGCAATAAATAGTCAAGGTATTATTGACAAAACGATAATAATCAATGTTGCATTGAGCTTTAATAGAGAAGTTACTCTAATAGCCACAGATACAAGGAACAACAATTTTCTACATAAGAGAAGTAATTGTTTGATGCAATGTTTTCAAGTTCTTCATCTACTATCTTTATCTATATTCATAGTTTATACACAAAATCCACAATGTTTATAATATTCATAGTTTTATTTAATTATTGACTCTAATGTTTCTTTTATCTGGCATTAGAAGAAGCGACCTAGCAAGGTTCAGGAATTGGAATCTCAGATTGCTAAGCTTCAAGAAGATCTGAAGAGTGCTAAGGATCAACTTAGCACATCAGAGTCATGGAAGAGAAAAGCTGAAGAGGAGATTGAAGAAGCAAAGAAGCAGATAGTATCCTTGTCAAAGAAGCTGGAGGAATCCCATCAACAGTTTTCGGAACTTTCCGCTTCTGATGAAGCACGACTTCAAGAACTGAGTAAAATATCTCAGGATCGAGATCGAGCATGGCAGTCTGAACTTGAGGCTGTCCAGAAGCAGCACTCAATGGATTCATCTGCTCTGGCGTCTGCCATTAATGAAATACAGAAATTGAAAAGTCAACTAGAAAGAGCTTGTGAGTCTGAATCTACTAAAAATAACAATGCTGAGTCGGATCATGCTGAGATTCAGGACTTGAGGATGGATCTTAGTGAAGCTATCTCTATCATGGAAAAACTAAAAAATGAGGCAAGTGAGTGCAAAGATTCCGAATCTCGAGCCTTAGAAGTAATTGGTAAAATGCAAATGCAATTGGAAACAGTAAATAAGACGGTGGAAACACTTCGATCGGATGGTGAAAAAGCAGCAGAAGCTTACAGGTCGTTGACTTTGGAGTTAGAGCAATCAAGAACTCAAGCAAAATCCTTGGAGGAACTTGTGATGAAACTTGAGACTGATTCAACCAATGAAAAGGGACTGTATCATGAAAATGGAGAGATTAACGAGCTGAAAGCCGAGCTTATCGCTGCTAAATCCGAAGTAGGGCAATTGAAGTCTGCATTAGAAGTTGCTGAGATAAGATACCAAGAGGAGTATATCCAGAGCACATTGCAGATTAGAAGTGCTTACGAACAACTTGAACGTACAAAATCAGAATCCGGTCAGAGAGAGGCGGAATTATACGAGGAATTGAGGAAAGCTAGAGCTGATATTGAAGAGCTAAACACAAGTTTGAAGGAAAAGGAATCTCAATTGCTGATTATGTCAGCAGAAAACAAGGGACTTGATGAAAACAAATTGGCTGATAGGGAATGTAAACTTGCAGAAGAGCTCAAAAAATTGGATACTGATAATGTGGAGTGGAAAGAAAAATTATTAGATAGAGAGACCGAGTTGAAAAACGTAACCGAAGAAAACAATATGCTTAAGATGGAGATAAAGGAGTTGGAGAAGAATAAAGTCACCGATGAGGCTGTTGCATCTGTTGAAACAGCGAGGGCTGCGGAGCAAGAGGCTTTGGCAAAACTTAGCTATGTAATGGAAGAAGCAGATAAAAGTAACAAAAGAGTGGCTCGTGTAACCGAACAGTTAGATGCTTCTCAGGCTGCAAATTCGGAGTTAGAAGCTGAATTAAGGAGATTGAAAGTTCAGTCTGATCAGTGGAGAAAGGCTGCTGAAGCAGCTGCGTCCATACTTTCTACTACCGGGAACAATGGCAAACGTGTAGGTAAAAACGGCTCACTTGACAGTAGCTTCAATTCAATTTCTAGCAAGACAATGAATTCGCCTTATTTAGAGGACACAGATGATGAGTCTCCAAAAAAGAAAAATACAAACATGCTGAAGAAGATTGGGGTGTTATGGAGGAAGAATCATCATTAAGCTGTTAACCTGTATGCTGTTTCGTTGTGCTCTTTATTCTTATTGGATATTGTTATATTTTTGTTAGGGATAATTAGTTGGTACCAACTTTGAGTTATGACCATTTAGTTCCTCGTAACAATGAAACGGAGCAATGTATTAATGCTAATGATATTGTTAATCTGTTCAACTATTATAGGATTTACTGTATTTGCTTTAACAAGGAAGTTCTATGTTGATGTCAAGATTAATGATGGATGTGTGTTTTGAAATTCTCTATGAGATCAATGCTAGTATTATTTCAATTCAAGTCTCAGTCCTATAATAGTGGTTTGAGTCTGCAAGTTGCAACCTTTTAAAAGACAATGCAGTGCAACCGACACTTAATTAGGTATAAAAATTGAACATGCAATAGAAATTTCTTCCTTAACCAAAAAAGTTCATGTAATGGAAGAGAAAATAAAACACAAGCACGATTGATCAAGATGGATCACAAGGTGAAATCTAAAGAGAATTTTATGAATTGTGATGGTTCATCCAATTGCTTTGAAATTGATTGCATAGCCTCGATTGTGTCATGAAAATTGACTTGATATCTTTCTTATTGTATTTGATATTATATATAATAATGTCACAATTCATAATGACTAATTATAATTCGTAATGCAAAGATTATTTCTTGATTAACATCCCCCCTCAAATTGATGCGGTTGGTCAAAGAGCATTAATTTGCTAATAAGAAATTGATGTCGTGGGCGTGAAACAACTTTGGTAAGAATATCTGCAACGTGCAACTGAGTACTGACATGAGGAAGTGATATCATTCGATCATCATAGGTGTCACGTATTGAATGACAATCAACTTCTATATGTTTGGTGCGTTCATGAAAAAACAAGATTTGCAACAATTTGAATGACACTTGTATTGTCAGCATAAAGTGAAGTTGACTATGTATGAGGAAATCCAAGTTCAGCTAAAAGACCACGAAGCCAAATTATTTCGGAACAAGCAGCAGACATCGCACGATACTCTGATATAGTGAAAGATTTAGAAACTCTTGTTTGCTTCTTACTTTTGCAAGAGATCAATGAAGAACCAAGAAACATGCACCAACCAGTGACAGATCAACGAGTATTAGGACACCCTATAAGCACTCAATTGAAGAGGAATTCCAACGGGAAAGAATAATCCACGGTGAGAGGTTCCCTTCAAATAGTGAATTATACGACGAACCGCAGCCAAGTGAAGATGGCGAGGAGAATGCATGATTTGACTTACTTGTTGAACGACAAAAGAGATGTCAGCGCGAGTAATAGTCAAGTAATTAAGGCTACCCACAAATTGCCAATACAATAAGGGACCAGGCAAAAGATCATCATTATCATGATGATATTTAACATTAACCTCAAGGGGAGTATCAATCGGATTAGCCAATTGGAGACCAAACATAGAAAACAAATCGATAGCTGTAATACGGTGGGAGAACTGACTTGATTTTTGTTTTATCGCAAATGTTGCAAATAACAAGAGTCGCCACCCACTTTTATTTTATCCAATAAGGAAAGGGTGAAAAGAACAAGAAAGACCTTGAAGATTTTGAGTTCGGGGGGTAGGTTATGAAAAGGGAAGGTGTTAGCAACCTTTTCATCCGTAGTTATCTACGGGCTCTTAATCGCTTAGCTCACTTTGAAAACTTGCTTTTTGGGTGTGTTTGTTTTTGAAAATATTTTGAAGTTTGAACTTTATAACGATTCTTGTATCGGTCCTCAAGAATGCGTACAAAGTGTTTTAAAAATATCTTTGAAAATGTTTGTGTAAAATGTTTTGTTTTTTTGTGAGCAAGCGATTAAAAGTTCTACCCACTCAAGGTTATTCTTGTACTTTTCCTCCTCCTTAAGATAGTGTTATCCATACCATTAGTTAGTAGGAAGCCCTATCCGTTGGATGTGAAGGGACGGGCGCAGGATCATCGTACAGTCATTGAAGGCAATTTGTAAGGGCGCTTTATCAATTTTCGTAAGGGACTGGATCATTTATCGAAAGACAGCGTCGAAAGGGTCATCGAGAGACTAGATCATTGATTCGAGGGTCTTTGCTAAAGCGTCCCCACGTTTGAGGGACATGACTGTTTTTGTTCCGAAGGCAACAAGAGAGGTTACCCTAGAGGTGCAAGTGTGTGAGTATGTTGTTTTCATTTATTTTATCTTTGAGTTTAGGATTTTCTATCGTTTGGTTTTTATCTTTCCATACAACCCTAATTACTAAACAATAGTATAGTAAATATAATAGCAGGAAATGAAGCAGAAACGTAAATCCTAAACTATTACAACGCTTTGGGGAAGATACATAATAGACAACGCATAAAATAAATCCTAAGCTATTACATCCAAGAGCAGTTACATAATAATGAAAAACAAAACGACAAATAAAGAATACAATTGCAAAACCTATACAATCGATTTAAAAATATAAAATGAAAATAGAATCGAAAGAAAATGAAATATTTTTGATGTTTTTTATAAAAATAAATTTTGATGATAATTAATTAATTAAACCTAGGAATCTAATTACTTTTAATTAAAAAAAGTTAATTAAAAAGTTAATCAAAATAAAGTTAATTAAAAAGAAAGTTAATTAAAAAAACCTAGAAAAACTAATTAATTCTATTTAAGAAAAAAGTTAATTAAAAAAAGTTAATTAAAAGAGTTAAAACTTAATTAGGGTTTGTAAAAAGGTTTTGTAGTTAATGGTTAAAAAAATTAGGTTAAAAAAGATTAGGATTAAGAAATAAAGTTAAGGAAGAAATTAAGAAAAAAATAAGTTGGAAGCAAAATAAAGCAAAAATGCCAGGGGTGGGTGTTGAATCCATGCCCCTGGGGTAACAACCTACACTCCTTGCCACTGCGCCAACGTGCTATTGGTGTTAGGAAACATAACACGTTTATTATATTGATAACCTGCATATTAAATCTGAAAAATAACAAAAAATAAGACGCAGGGAATCGAACCCACGCTATTTCCTTCATCGCGCTCGCCTTTCACCAACTGAGTTATGTTTTCAATCTATCATTATATCAAAACAAAAACAATATATAAAAAAACAAAATCAACGCACCGGAGAAGCGTCGGAGCCCTAGCTCCGGTCGTCTTCTCTGACGAAGCTATTTTCCAACCTGCAAAGTTAGTGTATGTTAGAGATCAAGAAGGACCTTATCCCCCTAAATTGATCCTCCTGAATCCAATGATGAGGTTGTTTTAGCCTAAAAGTGATTGTATCATGAGTTTCGAAACAACACTCAATTTGTGCCCTAACCATGGCACTTTGTTATTCATGCACTAAACTTCAAAAGTAATACGTCAAAACAATTTCGTACATCAATATGATCATGAATATATGCATATAATTCATTTATATTGCATAAATAAGTAGTTTGAATTTTGAAAAAATACCAACAAATCGGTGATGTTGGTTAGAATGTTTTGGGATGCTTCACGTTGCAATGATGGTTGGAATAACTCCCTGGGGACCTCAGAAGCTCAATGGAATGCTTGATTTTGATTGTAAGAGACTGGAGACAAGACTTTGTTCTTGCCCTATTTTTGATAATTTATTTTGGAATTGTTAGGGGTGTGCTTCTTTAGGCAATTTTGTGTGGTCTCTTGTCTGAAATAATATGAATATATAGAGCTGGATTAGGTCAAATAAATGTGGGCTTAAACCTTGTATGAAAGTTTTTTATTTTATCCTTTTAATTTTGACTTTAAATAAATAAAATCAAAATAAATAGAATAAAAACCCAAGGGGTGAATGGATAAGTTCATAGGTTCACAATGAGGTCTTATGCACGTTTGGACCTTGAAACATCAGTCCACTAGCCAAAAAACTCAAGTTTGGTCACTTTAGATTTCAAGCATTTTTTCAAAATTGCCCAACTTGCATCAATCATAACTCTCTAAATTTTTATCATATGGAGGTGATCCTTGAATTTTTGGAAAGCTGTCCTTTACAATCTCTATGTTTATAATGTTTGCATTTGAATAATTTATCTTGATGTAATATGCCTTTACAAAAAGTTTCTTTTTGTTGACTTTTGAAATGACCTATAATGTTTTGGCCCATATCTCTCAAATGAAGCATTTTTTGGACTTTGAGCTTAGATAGAAAAAGTTGTATAGAATTGAATTTCCTTCAAAAATAGCTTTGGTTGAGAAAAATCTGATGAAGCATGTGAAAGTTGTGTTTGGTCAAAGTTCAGTTGACTTCTCCTTAAGAAAACCCTAATTTGGTAATTTTTGACTTTTGATGAATTTGGAGTTTTCTTGATGAATAATGATCAACCCTTGATCAAATTATGAATGTGACTTCAAAATCTTGATGATGACCAAAAATCTTGAGGTTTGACTGTATGTTGACCATAATTGACTTTTTGTCTAATACCGTTGATTTTCAGCCATCTGAGCAATTGGCTGAGCAAACTTGTGATGAAAGAATTGAAATTTGGCATGAGCATTCCTTGAGACATATGAGGAACCATGAAATCCACTTGAGGAATTATAAGTTCAAATTTCCTTTAGAAAAATGAAACCCTAGTTGTGGGTCAACTACTTAGGAGGAGAATTTGTCTGATCAATTCTTGAACAACCTTGAGCAATTGAGAATTCTAAAAGCATGAGAAGGTATCTTGAATAAAGAATGGGAGGGAAAATTTTAGGGTACAACAGCTGCACCTGTTCAATCTTCTTAAACCTTAAGAGTTAGATTGGCATGTCCGTCATTCATGATTTTAAGGTGGAAGAGGATTGAACACTTAAATGCCCAGAAATTTGCACTCGCTGGTGCATGGAGTAACGCTGTTGGTTGATAGTATTTCTTGAATGAGCTTAAATATTCCATTAGGGGAGATGATAGAGTGTTGTCGGAGATGGGCTTATGGATGCCATCCAGAGTAACTGTTGGTAGGAGTATCATAATGAGTCTACGCTTGACTTGATTTGATAGAATGAAAATTTCTGAAGAAAA